TGCGGCTAAATTGAGGAAGTGTGGTCTGGATGATCGGGTAGTGAGGTGGACTGTGAACTGGCTGAAGGAGAGAAGCCAGAGAGTTGTAGTCTATGGGGCGGAGTCTAGTTGGAGGCCTGTATCTAGTGGAGTGCCTCAAGGGTCGGTACTGGGACCAGTATTATTTAATATATTCATCAACGATTTAGATGAGGGAATTGAGTGTACTATCAGCAAGTTTGCTGATGACACTAAGCTGGGAGGGGTGGCCGACACGCCAGAAGGCTGTGCTGCCATCCAGAGGGACCTGGACAGGCTGGAGAGTTGGGCGGGGAATAACTTGATGAAATATAACAAGGGAAAGTGTAGAGTCCTGCATCTGGGCAGGAACAACCCCAGGTTCCAGTATAGGCTGGGGAACGACCTGTTAGAGAGCAGTGTAGGGGAGAGGGACCTGGGGGTCCTGGTGGACGACAGGGTGACCATGAGCCGACACTGTGCCCTTGTGGCCAAGAAGGCCAATGGCATCCTGGGGTGTATTAGAAGGGGGGTGGTTAGTAGGTCGAGAGAGGTCCTCCTTCCCCTCTACTCTGCCCTGGTGAGACCTCATCTGGAATATTGTGTCCAGTTCTGGGCCCCTCAGTTTAAGAAGGACAGGGACCTGCTGGAGAGAGTCCAGCGCAGGGCAACTAAGATGATTAAGGGAGTGGAGCATCTCCCTTATGAGGAAAGACTGAGGGAGCTGGGTCTCTATAGTTTGGAGAAGAGGAGATTGAGGGGTGACCTTATTAGTGTATATAAATATATAAAGGGGGAGTGTCACGAGGATGGAGCCAGGCTCTTCTCAGTGGCAAACAATGAAAGGACAAGGGGTAATGGGTACAAACTGGAACACAAGAGGTTCCACTTAAACCTGAGAAGAAACTTCTTCTCAGTGAGGGTGACAGAACACTGGAACAGGCTGCCCAGGGAGGTTGTGGAGTCTCCTTCTCTGGAGACATTCAAAACCCGCCTGGACACGTTCCTGTGTAACCTTATCTAGGTGTTCCTGCTCCGGCAGGGGGATTGGACTGGATGATCTCTTGAGGTCCCTTCCAATCTCTAACATACTGTGATACTGTGATGCTTTCTGTGACAAGATGTCAAGCCATGGGCTGGAGCAAGGAAGGGTCCAGCGGCCTCTCCAAGCTCCCGCAGTTGTCTGCATTGATGTGAATGGGTGTAAGCCACCAACTGCTGACCCCGGATCTCTGCCAGAGAAGCCCAGTGCATTGATGCAAGCCTTTCCAATGGGAACTGGCCCCTTCTCTCCCTGAATTCTCCCTTCTAATCCTGCCTAGGTTGTGTCACAGACCCCAGTCCTCAACTGTGGAGTCCTTGGAGGGACTCGCATCCCAGCCCTGTGCCAGGGTCCAGGGCAGGACACGCACCCCAACCCTATCCTGCACTGTGTCAAACTCCCCCAGAGCAACACAAGGAGGTGGGAGCTCCAGCATCCTGCCCCATGCTTCTCCTGCTGTCCCTCTACAAACCAGTGCCAGCCCCAGCTGCACAAAGGGCCCCTTTCACCTCCCTTGCTGCCATGAACCCTCTGTCCCCCGCTGCTGGCATCCCGCCCCAGAGGCAGCCAGGGATGCAGCTGGGAGCTGCTGGGAGTTAATCGGGGTTAATCTTTCTCCTTGCAAGTGTGGGATGAGCAAGGGGAAGGGCCGCAGCCCTGGGCAGGTGAGCCCTTGCCTGCTCCTCTGAGTGCTGGAGGAGAGGAGAGAGGAGAGGCAGAGGGTGGATGGAAGTAGACAAGCTCTCTTAGCCATATCAGAGCCCCAGTGAGATGCAAACGTGCTCCATGGAGGGCACATCAGAGCTGGATCAGCCCCTTGGGGTGCAGTGCCCACATGGAGGGGGCAGGACAAACCCTGTCCTGCACCTCTCCCCTGGTCAGTCCACATCACGGGGTGCTGTGGGCCTCGAGGCACAGGGGTCTCTCTCTGCCCAGGACCCTGCCATCCCCGTCTCCTTCCCCTGCACCCATGGAAGCAGCAGGTCCACTCTCGCTGCAGCAGGCAGGCTCTTGCACAGGCTCTGGAGCCACTTGGCTTCAGGCTGGCACCATCTCCAGGTCCACCTTCCTGTCACTGAGGCAGCTGGTGCCCGGGGAGTTGGGGTATGGTGGGCTGAGGGACACGGGTGATGAACAGGGGGAGAAATGGGTTTCCCCAAGTGCAGCCTGCCCTGCAGCAGCCTCCTCCGCTGCTCCATCCCAACCCTCTGGGGCAGCGAGCACTTGTGAAGATGTTTTTATCTGGGTGAAGCCATGGTGAGGAGGCTGCAGGCAGAATGTGAGTGATTTCAGCACGGCTGACTCAGTCCCTGCCGGTGCGGCTGTGCCGTCAGCTCTGCCCAGATGAAATCACATCCTCCTCCTCCTCCTCCTCCTCCCCAGTGCCCATGCTGCCGCTCACCCGTTCCATGCTGGATTCTTGGGGGTTAAGTGCTCCTGGGCTGGTTCGTGCCTGCACCCTCCTCACTATTCCAAGTGCTGTGGCACAAGAGATCCCAAACTTCCACCTTGGCCACCAGTGCTGCCCTTGGGAGAGGGTCTGGCTGTGCCCTGTGGCAGTGCACCTTGCAGCCTCCTCCTCATGGGTGGCTCTGGATGGGGATCACAGCCACCAGTTCCAGCCAGGAACTGGGCAGAGCTTCAGCCCATCTTTGCCCTCTATTTTTCAGTGCAGCAAAGGCTTGCAGGGAAGTCCTGGGTACTCCAGGAGTCTTCAGCTTCACACACCACCCAAGACCATGAGCATCACCTCCGTGCATGGGGGGCTCAGGAGAGCTGGGGACTGCCTTAAGATTTGGTGTTTTGTATTTCTGCCTCCACACTGTCCAATGGAGCGCAGCAGCAGCAGTGCAGGGAGCAGCCCCCTCACTCACACCAGGGCTGTAGGGTACACACAGTGGTTTTAGACCCAGCCCTGCCTGTGGTGAGGATGCGAAACCCCAATTTCTTTTTGGCAAACTCCCTCTGGCCTTCACCACTGGTGCCTCACTTGTCCTGACCCCACCAACCTGCTATTGCCTCACCCCCCCTTGCACCGTCCCCAGCATCCCTCACAACCCTGCCCGTGCCCCGACTCACCAGAGAGCTCCGGGCTGGCCTCCAGCCCCGCAGCCAGGCAGAGGAGGACCAGGGCTGCTGCTGGCCCCACCGGCCGGGCCATGGCACAAGCGCTGCTGGCTGTGGTGCGGTCACGGTGGCGGCTGGCTCCAGACCCGCAGCACGGGGACAATGGCTCGCTTCTGTGCCCTGCTGTCTCTGAGCCTGCTCTGTGTGTGCTGCCAGTGCAAGGGGCTGCTCTGGTCAGCTGGGGCACGCTCAGCACAGGGACCCCCCCGCGGGGAGGGACGCGTTCCCAGAGGCACAAGTGGTTCTGTGCCTTGGCACCACTGTCGCTGGCAGCCAGCAGCCCCTTTCCCGCACGCCTTTGTTCAACACAGGGGCTTCCAAAGTGCCTCGTGCTTTTGCACTGGCATGGTGAGGCAGGAGTCCGGATGTGTGTGTGCTGTAATCTCCATTTTGGCCTTCTGAGGAGGAAGGGAAGGGCTGCCGGAGTGCCTCCTTTGCGGAAAGGGCAAACACCCTCCCTGCAAAACCCACTGCGGGCAGGGCTTCTTGCTGCTGCCCTTCTGCCCCTGCAGCCCCGGATATGGGGCACTTCGACCTCCCAGAAGAGGGCACCGTGCAGTGCCCCGCAGCACGGCAGCTCCGTTAAACCCCTGCCCGCTGCCTCACTGGTGGCTCGGGAGGATGCGCCCGGCTGAGGTCAGCCTCAGGCAGCAGCCGGCAGTGCCAGGAGCCGGCGCGCTCCTGCGGGCTCAGCGCTCCTCTGGCTGGGGCAGCAGCGGGGACCAGCACACATCATCCATAGCGGGGTGCAGGCAGGAGGATGGGCCCTGGGGGTGCTGCCGTGGCCGCACTTGGCTCTCCCAGTGCCGTTAATTCACCCCTCTCCCTCACTGGGCAGTTTCCTGACCCATCAGGGGCAGTGTCCAGTCCTCCAAATGCTTTGGCGGGGCAGAGAGAAAAATGCCTCCCAGTTCCTCCCTCCCCGCCCAGCCCATGGTGTAAGCACCGCTCTGGGCTGCACAGCAGGACCAAGGAGAAACATCTCCCTTGGGAGCCTGCACAATCCTCCCCCAGCACGATTGCTTCGGGTGGACTCTTTCTTATCGGGGCTTGTTGAGTTTTAGGAAAGCCTGAGCTTACCCAACAGGGGGGGGCGGGGGAGGGGCTGAACTGGAATCTCCATTTGTGTAAAGCTCGGTACCAGTCACAGGGTCCCAGGGAGTGAGATGGGACTTGCCCAAGAGAGGAGTTAAGCCCGTGGGTGCTGGGAAGCCGCCTCCCGCGGGCCCGCCGCCAGGATGATCTGACACGGAACACTGCCCTCCCATCCCGGGGAGGAAAGCAAGTGGTCCTCCTTCCTGTGACACAGCCCCGATTCCAGGAACAGGGGGGGCCCTGGCGGGGCTCAGCCCTAGATACCTCCCATCGCCCCGCCACGCACCGCCCCGGCTGGGCTGGGGCCAGCAGCGCTCTGGGGCTCCCGCTGCGCCCTGCTGGGCTGCTCTGCTCCGCAGCACAGCTGAGGCCTGTGCCTGGCTCCTTCCAACCAGGGGTGCTCGGAGGAGCCCCCCATGGCGGTGCTGGGGAGCTGTGCTCTTGCTCCTCGGGAGGCAGTGGGAAGGTGACAGCTTGGTTCACCCCAGAGAGAGAAGTGGCAAGAACTGGGCTCTGGGGTCTGGGCGCCAGGGTGGGAGAATGGCAAAGGGGCAAGAGCAGAGCATGAGGAGTGACGGGAGGGATGCTTCCCCTGTAGAACCCCCATTCCCAGCTGGCAGCGAGGCAATGGCAGCGGTGCTGGGGCTGCCAGCCCAGGGCTCCGAGACACAGGAGCAGCGCCTGGGCGGGTGCGATAGACTGGAAGGGGACCCGTGAAAGCATCCAGATAGACCCGTGCTGAGTCACAGCTGGGAGGCCTCACAGCTTCCCCCTCCCCGGCGGCAGGTCCCGGCAGGCGCACACCCCATTGCTCCTCCCCGCTTCAAAAGGAAGGAAAGGGCAAGCCCTGGCCCTCCGCGAGCGGGTGTGAGCGCAGCCAAGGTGCTCAAGCCCTCAACCCTCTGAAAGCCCTTTGTGCTGGTGCTCCACAGAGGACGGACCCACTCAGCGCAGCAGTGAGCGATCCCTCCCCGCGCCGCTGGGATGGAGAGTCGGCAGCACAGCGCCACCGAAGAGCCTGAGATCGAGCTGTTCGTGAAGGTGGGTCCGGGCGGGGGCGGTTGCTCTTCGGCAGTTCCCTGCAAGCTCATCCTCAGCAGGCTCCAGCTGGGTGCGGGTGCTGGGAGCCTGGGAGCATCCTCACGTCTCAGGAGGCTGGAGACGGGAAGCAAGTTTGGGATCACTGGCCACGAAGGCAGCTGAGCAGGTGCCCCAGGGAGGGCACCAGTGCAGGCACCAGCGGGTGTCACACCAGCATCCTGCAGGATGCCCCTGTCTCTTACCCTGGGAGCAGCACTGCTGGCAGCTGGTGTGAGGGGGGAGCGGGCACACATGCACCTCTCATACCCAGATAAGAGGAACCCCCACCAGGGAGCAGCGAGTGGGAGGGCTGAGCAGCCGCCTCGGCTTCCGCAGGCCAGGGTTGTGAAATGGAGCACCCGGCCCTGGGAGCCAGCAGGTGCCACGGTGGGAGGGATGGGACGGCCTCACAGAGCAGGTCCGGGGGTTACTCGCTGGAAATAGGGATATTCCCTGTCCAGCAACTTTCTGAACACCTCCCCAGGAACATTTTAACACTCGAGTTCGAAATACCCACAGTGGTGTGCAGGAAAAGAGGAGCCAGCACTGGTGCTGGTACCCACATGCATCACCAGCGATGCCAGCGGGGCTGCAGGATATACTGTTAAGTGGCAGTGGCCAAGGGGAGCGAAGCCCCCCTGTGCCACCACACTGAGGTTTCAAGGGCAGTTTCCTTGTCTTGGTGGGCTCCACTCCTCTCCCGGGCAGCTCGGTTACTGGAAGCACTGCAGAGGCTGGGCACCCAGCAGCACTGGGCACTGTGGTGCTCTGCTTGGGTAGCACTTGGCAATACATGTTGGAAAGGATCACCTGAGCCTCTGTGGGAGTGATGGCCCCATCCCTTTGCCAGGACTGTGGCCATGGCCATGCTTGCCAGGCACTGAGCTCAGCTGAGCCAGATCCAGACAAGTGTATTTTCTTGGTGGAAGTAATGGGGGTCTTGAATTCCCGTCTTGTTCCCAGGGGTGGCCAGGGAGATGTGGAGAACGACACGAGGTGACTGCGATGGCGGCAGCACGCTCCAGGGGCTTTCTGAGGGAAGGGAAACTGAAAACAAAGCAGCAGCATCCTCAGGACTTCCCCTGTGCCTTAATTTAGTGCAAAAACCCCCTTCTGGCTTGTCTGCTAGCAGACAAAGTGATGCTGTGCCTCCTCCTCCTCCCATTCAGCACCCAGTTTTACCAAAGTCACCTGCCTATGCCATCACGCCTTGCACCTCACAGGGCCGGGGTCTGTCCTGAGACAGCCATAAATCATGGGGGGAGGCGGTCCTCCTACAGCCACCTACCTGCACCCTGCCCCTGCCTGGCTTTCACTCTGGCAGATGCTGTGGTTAACTTGGTGAGAACAGGAGGGGGTGAAGCAGGTCCTGCATCACCTTCGGGTTGGGGCAGGAGGTCCCCAGAGGGCTGGCGATTTTTTGCCCTGCCGTGGTCCCCATGAGAGCATCATCCTGTGGCTGTGAGGCTCTCCCTACCCCTCAGCCCCACAAGGCGTTTAGCTGCCCCATGGCTGCTCCCTGGGCTTTAGGGTGGCTGCAGGAACTGTGGGCAGGTCCCAGTGGGTGCTGAGCACCCTGCAGTGCCTCAGGCACACAGAACTGCTCCCTCCTCCCCCTGTGTTTCATGCTGTTTCACTGAGGGGGAAACCACAGGAACTGCCAAGTAACTTTGGGGTTTGACGCAGCTTCGTGAGGCCCCAGAGAGCTGGCGCTGGAAACCTGCCCCTCCTTGGAGGTGCTGCACCAGCCGGGCTGGCTTTATCCATCATCCAGAGGGGGAAAGAGTGGGGAAGGTCAGCCCGGAGGCTGCCGGCTCTGCACCCTGCTCCTGGGGGTGGAAGCAGGGGCAGAGGCTCTGCAGAGGCAGAAGCGAAGGGTGATGACTTCGCTGGCACCGCGGGGGGAAGCTGCTGGGGAGGACAATGTGTGGCTGCGAGTGCCCCCAGCCCCTCTCCCTCACTGCCCTGGTCCCAGCGCTCTCCCCAAACCAAAGGAGCCTGTTGGTTATAAGCTGACCCAGGACACTCCTGAGCGGCAGCTTCCCAGGAGCATTTAATAGCCAACAAAAAGCCTCCTGTGTTCATTCAGCTTCACTTCTGGGTATATCCAAGAATCTGTTTCTTAGTCCCCATTTTCTTTCTCAGGAGCATCATTTCAGGACAGCTGAGCATAGGAAACACTGGTTAAGAAGTATTTTCATTCCCCTGGAAGGACTAAAGGTGTTGGCATGGTGGAAAAGCAGACACCAGACGCCAGTACATCGGGGGGTTGGTTTGATCAGGTTAGCATCTCCTGTAGGGTGAGTTTGGGGCTGGTGCCTCTCTCCTGGAGCAGCCAAGTACTCCACAGCCCACAGGTTTCTGCAAGGCACTGAAGTGAAGCCCAGCAGAGCCAGGCGCAGGTCTCCACACCTTTGCTGATGAAGCATCCCCGGCCAGCGTGTCTTTGGGGTCCCAGTGAGGTGCAAGCTCTGGAGCCACCCCCAGCTGCCCCCCCTGGATGTCACCGCTGCTGCTTGACTCCTGCACCCCAAATCCTCCCAGCTCCAATCCCCCTCCTGCTCAGCCCCTGCGCTCCAGCTCCCCGCTGGCCTCGAGGCTCGTTGCAGAGCTGGGGTCGTGCCTCCCGCCGGCTGCCGTGGGAGCAGCATCCCCGTGAAGGAGCTGGCGTGGCCGCACTGCCCCTCCTGCCCCAGCAGGACGCCGGGCGCGCATCGTGCAGGGTTTGCTGCATGCGCAGCTGCGGAGCCGCTGCCTGCGCTTAACGGAGCCGGGTTTCCTGTGAGCCATGTCACCAACTTCCCTCTCTCAGCAGCGGCTGTGCCCATTTTCATGCACTGGCTGGGGGGGGAGGGAGGACGGGACATGCCATGCCCCATTCATCTTGGCAAAACTCCTCACGAGGTGTCTCGATCCCTTTCACAAAGGGTATTTTCAGCTGCTGTGTAGCAAGGGAATGGGCTTTGCTCCACCTGCTGCTGCTTTCCATCAGGATTGCCGAATGGGCATCGTGCGGGTGAGATGCTGATGAGGGAGCCCTGCTGGGACACAGGCAGGTTGTCCAAGCTCCTTGCTCCCCCACTGGTGTTTGACCCCATCCTGCTCACAGAACAGCCCCTCAAGCACTGAGATGCTGCAGCTGTGTCCATGCAGAGGGGTTGAAAGGGACTATCTGCACATGACCGCAGCTTTAGGAGCTAACACACAGCTCTGTTCCCCACTGATGCTGCTTGAGGTGCCACCACTGGGCAACCCTGCCACCCCTCGCCCTTTCGCCCCGAGGCCCAGGAGGCTGCTTGGGTGGTTCTTGGCCATTATCAACCCGGGGGAAATCACGCCTGGATTTGTTAAAGGCACACAGAACTGGAGGCAGGCGCTAGCAGCACATGAAAACAAACTGTTCTTTTCCTGGCAAATATGAGCACATTTCCCTTCTCACTGCCCTCTCCAGCCTGGCCTCCGGGCCAAGCGGATCCTCCCTTCCTCCCCATCCACCGGCAGCCACTCTCCACCTCCTTCCCCTGCCTCCTCCTCCTGCTGGCTTTATCTCACGTTTCTGGGAAGGGTCTGACCCCAGGCATCCTGAGGATGCTCTCCTATCTTCCCAGCAGCAGCAGGGTCACGGCTCAGAGGGATCCTACAGCGGAGCAAGCCCCGGTGCTGGGCCAGGTTCCTACAGCATGGGTGCGGGGGTGCCAGTCCGGTCCTCCATGTACCTTCCTCCTGAGGCTGGCTTCGGAGGTTCTCCACCTCCAGGCATCCCACTGGCACTAAACCCCCAGTTCTCTGCTTCCCCTGCAGGCTGGTCTGGATGGAGAGAACATCGGGAACTGCCCCTTCTGCCAGCGCCTCTTCATGGTGCTGTGGCTGAAAGGGGTCAAGTTCAACGTCACCACAGTGGACATGACCAGGTGAGCAGCTCCACAGCCCAGTCCTGGGCCAGCAGTGGGGCAAGACACCCCTGCTCAGCTCCATTCCTCCTATCCCACAGGCAGCATGCCAGAAGGATGGGGTGACAGCGCCCACCATGGGGTGCTGCTGGGGGGGCCAGCACAGAGCTTCAGCCACGTGCCAACCTGTGCGTGGAACAGGAACCCCTGTGGTCCGGGTGTGGGTACAAGCATGAGGGTACAGGGCAGACCAAGAGGCTGGGAAGCACTGCTCAGCCCCCCAAACCCAGCTGCGCGTGAAAGTGGGGATGCTGCCGGTGCTTGCCCCCATCCACAGCCTGACCTCAACCCGGCCCATTCAGTGTGGGAAGGCCACAGGCACTGAACCCACTCGTTTCCCCCGCTCCAGGAAACCTGAGGAGTTGAAGGACTTAGCACCGGGCACCAACCCACCCTTCTTGCTGTTCAACAAGGAGCTGAAAACAGACTTCATCAAGATTGAGGAGTTCCTGGAGCAGACCCTGGGCCCACCCACGTAATCTCAAGCTCCCTCTTTTCCCTCTGGGGCCGCCAGGCACGCTGCAGCATTGTGCAGTGCTGGGCAGACTGGGAAACCAAGGAAGAGCACTGGGAGGTGCCCAGGGCAGTGCGGGACGGGGCTGGCTCCCACCCGGCACCTGGCTCCGCAGGGACACGGATGGCAGTGCCAGCGGGCTGCATCCCCTGGGGAAGACAGTGGGTTAGGCTGCGAGGGGAGGGGGCTGGGATGGGCTGGAGTGGAAAACAATGGAAGGAAAGACTCGGGTCCCTTGGCACACAGAGCATAACTCACCTGGGAACCTTCATCCTTGCCCGTACTGACACAGGTGTCTCTTTGAAGGTATCCGCGCCTCACCCCCAAGTACAAGGAGTCCTTCGATGTGGGGAGTGACATCTTTGCCAAGTTCTCAGCGTACGTCAAGAACCCACGCAAGGAAGCGAATATCAGTAAGAAACACCATGATCTGCCTTGCTGGGTGGGGAGCTGCTTTTGTCTGCATCTGGGTGAGGTTAACCTGGAGGTGAAGGATCCCACTGCCTTCCCCACCAGAGCTTTCCTGCTGAGCAGAGGTGTGGGCAGGAAGGGTGAAGGCAGCCCCAAGCTCCATGGGGTTAATGGTCCCATGTGCAGGCGCCGGGGAGAGGAGTATGGGTTGATGCTAGTGGGGTCTCCTGGGAGCAGAGGCTCTGGCCAGGGTGCAGTGGTGTGCAGCACTGGTGTGGCTCTGTGGGCACACCCGGGGCACTGGCTCACGGTGCCTGTCCCCCTGTGTACCCAGGCTTTGAGAAGGCCCTGCTGCGGGAGTTCCAGCGCCTGGACGTTTACCTGAACACGCCTCTCCCTGACGAGATCGACCAGGACAGTGTGGAGGATGTCACCGTCTCCAAGAGGAGGTTTCTGGATGGAGACCATCTGACGCTGGCTGACTGCAACCTCCTGCCCAAACTGCACATCATCAAGGTAACGGCACAGTGCTGGGGCTGCAGCGGGGACACGCACCCCAAGGGGAGGTCACAAGGAGGGGGGATGCAAACAGGAGCTGGGTCTCCTGTATTTGTCCCAAAGATGAATCCTCCCCAGGCCCGTGAAGTCTCAGCCTCCTCCTCTCCTCCCCTCCCCTCTCCTCTCCAGACTGCAGCCAAAAAGTACCGCGACTTTGAGATCCCGGCAGACATGACGGGCGTGTGGCGGTACCTCACCAACGCCTACGCCTGCGACGAGTTCAGCCACACGTGTCCTGCGGATGAGGAGATCGAGCACACCTATGCCAGCGTGGCCAGGAAGATGACCTAACCCGCAGGGGACACCCCCCCCCCCAGACCGGAGGGGCTCACAGCACTGCTGCCCCCTGCCCTTCCGAATAGTGCCTTGCTTCACACCGCTCCTCCTTCCGCTCCTCGGGCAAGGACCCATCCCTGCGTGGTCCCACTGCAGCCGCATCCCTGCTCCCCGAAACTGGCCTCGTGGCCTGTGCCTGTGTGTCATGGGCAACGGGGAGCGCTCGCCTGCCTCAGCAGCACTGTGCGGAACAGCAGCTGAGAGATCCCCCCTCCATGGCTCGGCCAGCTCTGCCTCCCCAGCCGCTGCTGCAGCTGCTTTGCCAGCCCTGCGCAGTCCCAGCCGTGCCATAGGCTCAGGAAGAGGTGTCCCAGGGTCCCAGCACACCTCCTGGGCTGGAGCTGTTGGAGTCACCCTTCTGCACAGCACCCCACAGCCTGCGTTTGGGCAAGCCCGTTTTTCCACCACAGCATCCAGACTCCATGTGAAGAACCGAAAGGCTCCATCCCCAGTAGTTTGTTGCAGTGACACATTGTTCTCACTGCTCAGGTGTAGTAACATGCATCCTACTGCCCATTAGGACATGAAGGCAGGTGGGTGGCTCTTGGTGTGAGAGTGCCAGGACCTGTTGTGGAAGGGAAGGGGGGTGCAGAGGCATGTAAAGGCCTGAGGATGGAGGGCTGAGGATCAGGGCATCCCTTCCCTGTGTACCAGAACCCAGAGCCATGTGCTGCTTGCTGCAAGGTCCCATGTGGCTCCTGCAAGCTAAGAAACCTCTCCCTGTCTTGCAAGATGCTGCAGGAGATACAGCCGCGTGCACCTCAGTCCTCACCAGCACGTCAGGTGCCTGACTGGCTGATGGAGGCATCCATCTGGTTTCCACATCCTGCTAGCAGACAGCCCAAGAGGCAAAAGCTGCTGTACAGAGCGCTGTGTCTGTCGGAGACATGGGGGCAGGTTTGATGCTCCCTGGCTCAGCACTGTGCCCCCCTGTCCGCTGATGGATGCATAGAGGAATCAAAGCCACTGCACAGCCATCACTCTCCATCCTGTACCTTCAGCTCCCCAAGGGCTCCTGCCGGTGTCTGTGGGCTCAGCCAGACCCCCTCCCTCCCCTGGCCAGCCCGTGGGCAGAACAATACTGTACAGTGAGCACGGGGGGTCCTGCGGGGCCACAGCAGAACCCCTTGGCCCTCACTGCCACTTCCCTCTTTGCACTAAAAGGTGTGTCCTTGCAAGCCTGCCTCTCATAGCACTGGGTTTGGGGACTGGTTTTGTTATTAATGGCATTAGGTTTGTTTGGGTTTTGTAATCTAAGAACAGCAATAAACTTTATTTTAATACGCCTCGCTTGTGTAGTGTCGGCGCGAGGGTCGCAGTCACCAGGCACGGAGGATGCTGGGCAGGGAAACCCTGTCCCATGGGAACAATGTCCCCTCGGGGGGCACATGCATGGACACGGGCCCTCACCCTGCACGTGGCGCTGGGGGGATTCAGGGAATGAGGAACTACAGGATGCTGCTCTGGCTTGAGGGGTTTATTCAGCTCCTGCTGGCAGCTGGCACATACCTGCTAGGCCACAGCGGCAGCTCTGCCTTGCCAGGAGTGCTGGAGGGCTGCTCTATGGGAGAAGCACTGTCCTGCACCCCGCATCCTCACGGCACTCTTCCCCTGCCCCACAGCACCCCTCCTGTGCTGCAGACCCTCCCCGCTCTCCCAACACGGGATCAGAGCCCCTTCCCAGCTCAGTGCAATCAGTCCAGCAGGGTCGGGGTGGATGGAAGATGCTGGGATCGCGGTGGCAGGATGCGAGTGACAGAGCTGCTCCTGGACCCCTCACTTGGTGACACAGTATTTCCAGAAGCAAGCTGGGAGGGAAGGAAAAGAAACCCGTGCAAGGGGATGCGGCAGCACTTGGCTACCGCTGGAAAGTTTAAAGGAAGGGAGATGTCCATCTCTTCTCCCATCTCTTCAACTGGCTTTGCAGTCAGTTCTAGGAGCACAGCCTGGGAGCTGAATGCCTCAGTTCACAGGCACCCTCTACCCAAGTCACGAGCATCTCCACGTCAAGCCCGGCCCCTGCTTGCCCCGGCCCCTTTGCAGGTTGTCCTGGTTTCAGCTTAAACCACGACACAGGTCAGTGCAGGTGGCCTGGGGCCCAGGACCTGCTTGGTGCTGGGCACTCACCTCTCTTGTTGGGCTGTGGAGGGGCCTGGTCTGTCTGGGCAAACCCCTGGCTCTGGAGATTGCCCATGGCCACCATCTTCCAGAGGAGTGCACCAAGGTCTTCACCCTGCTGTGGCACAGCAGCCCCATCACCCGTGTGCTGTGCCCATGTGGCAACAGCAGCCCTGAAGCCCTGTTCCCCCAGTGCTGCACCAGTGAGGGAAGCAGCGTCAGTCCCCAGTGGTGGCCAGCAGTGATGGGGTCTGCTGGGACCTGGTGGGGAGCTGGCCCAAGGGAGTCCCCTGAGCAGCCGTGTTCCCCTGGGCTGCCCCCAGGCCATAGGGGCACCTCCACTCACCAAGGGTCCAGGGACATCCTCCTGGAGAGCGCTTTTCTCTCCTGAAAACAATGAAAACCAATGCTGTGAGCACAGGGGGCTGTGGATGTACGGGGGGGGGGGGGGGGGGGGCAGGGGCCAGGGGAGAAAGGACATGGCACCACTGCCTGCTCCTCTCCATCTCCCCTGGGGCATGCAGCCTTCAGCACTCCTTCCCCCTGGATTCAACCCCTCACCTATCCAAGACCATCCTGGTGCTCCCACACCAGCCCCATCCATGGGTCCAGCTCCCTGTGAGCTCTGCCACTCACCGTTGCCATGAGCTGCTCTCTGGTCGTGGCTCACTGCTTCCCACGGTGCAGGCAGAGCCTGGTCCAGGCTCTTGGATGGCCGGAGTCCTGCTGCAGGCTTGCTCTCAGCCATGAAGCCACCTGCGCCGTCAGCCAGGCTAAAATCTGTTGTCTTGAGGGCTGGGTTCAAGGGGGACAAAGTGGCTCATTGGAGGTGGGTTTGTTCCCCGCGCAGTGGGATGCAGAGATGCAGAGCCTGAGCATCGACTGCTAGTCCCAGGAATTGCACGCAGGTTTTCTGAGAGGGACTAGGGCACATCCCCTCACCTGGCTATGAGTCCAGCCTGGGCTAAGAGCCAGAGCGCTGCCTATGGCACTGTGAGCATCACCTCAGCAGAGGTGATGGATCCCTTCCCTCGCCTTGCAGTGATGCTCCTCCTAATGCAGCCCGGGACACTGCTGGCTGCCTTTCCTTCAAGGGCACATTGCTGTCTTGTCACCTTGGCATTGATCAGAAAGCCCTGGCCTGTGCTGGAGCCTGGGGATGTTCCTCCCCGGGGACAAGACTCAGCATTTCTCCCTGCTGAACAGCACAGGGTCCCTCTCAGCCCATGTCTCCAGCCTATCCAAGCTCCTTGGGATGGCAGCATGACCCTGTGGTGTTATCAGCCACTTGTCCCAGCTCTGTGCCAACTGCTGAGGGTGCACCCTATCCCATTGTCCATCATTAACATCTGAATGAAGATGTTAAACACAGCAGTTCCTCTTACCAACCCTTGGGATGCACCACTGGTGACTGGCCTCCAGCTGGACTTTGTGTCACAGATCACAGCCAGCTTTCAATTCCACCTGTCTAAGCCCAGCTTTGTCACCTCGCCTGTGAGGGTGATGTGGGAGACAGCGCCACCGGCCAAGGCACACAGCACCCACTGCCTGGCACTGCCTCCAGCATGGCTGCAGCAGGCGGTGGAGAGGGTCCTCACCAGCCCCCAGCATCCCCCTTGCCACTGAAGTCCCTTCTGAGGGCAGCTCCAAGCACCCCTGAGTGGCCTCGCTCAGCTGGAGAGGGCTGAGCCCAGATCCCCGTGTCCCAGGCAGCACTTTGGGGGGGCACAAGCAGGAATCTCCCCTTGAGTGAGTGTGTCCCCTGGCAGGCTGCACTGCACTGCACTGATCTCCCCTGGGTGAGTGTGTCCCCTGGCAGGCTGTCTGCACTGCACTGCACTGCACTGCACTGCTCTCCCCTGGGTGAGTGTGTCCCCTGGCAGGCTGTCTGCACTGCACTGCACTGCACTGCACTGCTCTCCCCTGGGTGAGTGTGTCCCCTGGCAGGCTGTCTGCACTGCACTGCACTGCACTGCACTGCTCTCCCCTGGGTGAGTGTGTCCCCTGGCAGGCTGTCTGCACTGCACTGCACTGCACTGCACTGCTCTCCCCTGGGTGAGTGTGTCCCCTGGCAGGCTGTCTGCACTGCACTGCACTGCACTGCACTGCTCTCCCCTGGGTGAGTGTGTCCCCTGGCAGGCTGTCTGCACTGCACTGCACTGCACTGCTCTCCCCTGGGTGAGTGTGTCCCCTGGCAGGCTGTCTGTACTGCACTGCACTGCACTGCACTGCTCTCCCCTGGGTGTGTCCCCTGGCAGGCTGTCTGCACTGCACTGCACTGCACTGCACTGCTCTCCCCTGGGTGAGTGTGTCCCCTGGCAGGCTGTCTGCACTGCACTGCACTGCACTGCACTGCTCTCCCCTGGGTGAGTGTGTCCCCTGGCAGGCTGTCTGTACTGCACTGCACTGCACTGCACTGCTCTCCCCTGGGTGAGTGTGTCCCCTGGCAGGCTGTCTGCACTGCACTGCACTGCACTGCACTGCTCTCCCCTGGGTGAGTGTGTCCCCTGGCAGGCTGTCTGCACTGCACTGCACTGCACTGCACTGCTCTCCCCTGGGTGAGTGTGTCCCCTGGCAGGCTGTCTGCACTGCACTGCACTGCACTGCACTGCTCTCCCCTGGGTGAGTGTGTCCCCCGGCAGGCTGTCTGCACTGCACTGCACTGCACTGCACTGCTCTCCCCTGGGTGAGTGTGTCCCCTGGCAGGCTGTCTGCACTGCACTGCACTGCTCTGCTCTGGAGAGGCGTAATTTCAGGTCACCACAAAACCAGGCATTAGGCACATGGCTACAAGCCTGGCATAAGTCCCTTGCTGTCTGAGTGTATTTAACTGGAAACCAGCTGGTGTGTTGGGGCTTTCCAGCATCTTACTCTTCGACCCATCCCTCCTCCAGTGCCCGTCCGTGCACAGCCAGCGGGAAGCTCCCTCAAGCTCCAGAGGCTGAGCAATCCCAAGGGCTTGGCCTTGAATTCCCTTTGCCTCAGGCATGTGGGCAAGCGCTGGAAGTCCCCGAGTCAGCCAAGAGCAGCCCCTGGGCAGGCAGCAGCGCCCCTGCAAGGCCACTTGCAGAAGTGGATCACGGGGCTCAGGTCCCGCTGTGCTTTGGGACTCCAGCTCTGCCCAAGCTGCAGCGAAGCCGCAGCACACGCTGCAGTCAGGCAGTGCCATGGTACCAGGTCCCACGGCTGCTGGGTGGGCTAGCACCAGCCTTGTGACGTGAGGAAAGCTCACCCAGTCCACCCAGTGTGCTCTGCTTGCTCGGCACATGATCTTCAGCTCCCTCATCTCCTGCAGGGTGTCAGAAGAACACATGGCCGAAAGGATGCTTTTTATGCCCCAGGCTGGCTGATCCCCAGGGAGAAGCTGTCTGTCACCCCAGGGTACCTGGACACATCACCCAAACTCTGCCGTCCGCACATCACAACAGCCAAAGCAACCCCTTGGGTACAGGCTGGTCTTCTGTCCAACCTGGTCACACTAGTATGGGTTTAACCCTGCTGGCCATACACTGCTCCTAAGAGCACTGGCGAAATGCCTCCCCAGGTCAGGAGGTCTTTCTGCCCTAGGGAAGGGGAAGCTGCACTGCTGTGCACGTCCACAGAAGCCAAGCCTCCATGAAACACTGGATAAGAGCCAGTGTTGAGTGCAAGCACAGGGACAAACCCCACCCGGCTTTCAGGTGCTCTTACCTTGGGCTCCGTCGCTCTCAGGGTAGGCAGGGTAAGCACTGGTGCAGCACGCCCCCAGCAGTAGTGCCAAAGTGACAACCACCCTCTGGGGAGGCATCTCCTCTCCTTCTCCAAGCCTAGGAAAGGTCACAGCTTCCTGGGAGCCTGCAAGGGAGGGAGTCAAGGTGGTTCTCTTTTATGTCCTCCACCTCTCTGCGATCGATCCGCTCTCATCAGGTGGGTTGCCTTTGCTGCTGGGCTGGCCATCCATCCTGAATGACAGGCAATGACTGTCCTTGCTCTCCATCCTGACGGCGCGGGATGACTGGCCCTGCTCTCCCCCCGCTTCGGTCTCTGCCACTCTAGAAGGAGGATGTTTGATAAATGCTTGACTGTGTTTTCACAAGCTCCACTGCTTACCGTGGCTGTGCTGTGCCAGGGAGGGGACAAAGTGCCATGCAAGGCTCAACTATGGACAGGTTGGGTCTGGAGGAGGATCAGAAGAGAACACAGGGCCGATATCTGGACAAAACATGCGGATCCCCACTCCCGTTTTGCATGATCTTCCTCCCCATGAGTTACCGTGTTTCCTGCTCCTTTCACATCTCATGGCAACACAAGGGCAGTGGCAAAGGCTTTGTCCACCTGAGCATCCTCAGGGGGTGCCCCAGCCCCTAGTGACGAGACCCAGCAAGAGACAAGCCTCACCCTCTGCAGCCAGCAGCTGTGGAGCAGCTCAGAGAGGGTGGTGGAGTCTGGGTAGTTTGGGCTTAAACACTCATTTTCATTTCTGCAAGAGCAAAGGGGGTCAGGGATGGAGGCCCTGCAGCTGGCGTCCCACAGCAACGGCCATGGGGCGAGGCCATGGAAAATGGCTTTCCTGAGAGAGTAACACATCCTCTCTAAACATGTGGGTACAGAGCAGATTCCACATGCTCCACATGTCACCAGGGACCTGGCCCAGCTCTCTCCTGTCCAGGTTTCTCCAGTTCCCACCTGAGACCCCATCTTATTCACCACTTTCAACTGACTTTATTGTCAGTAAACTGGAATAGATTCTAATGGAATCTCTGCCTAGAAGGCTTAATTCAGAGAAAGCTGGTGGAAACTGCTCTCTTTGGTGGCCTCAGCCAGGAAACCATTGCTATGACAGCAGCTTGCACCCTTGCTCATAAAGTGCCATGCTTCCTGAGACCAGTAAGGAGGAATCTGGCAGACACAAGAGGATTTTAGGCTCTCAGGAGCTGAAAACCAACCTGGCAGAGCAGTTTGTTTGGTGCTCTTTCCTATCCACACCAAGGCTGGGACTTGGCCAGGCTGAGCAGTACCTGCTTCAGAGGTGCCATAAGGAAAGTCCCTTTGAGGTCTCAGTAGGAGATTCGTGTTCCTCCATCTCTTGTGTCCTCTCCTTGTGTGGGGTGGAACATCATGGAGTCTTTCCTGTGGAACGCTGGAGAGGACGCTTGGGAACCTTAGCACCTGTCTGTTAAACACGAGGCTGACCACGGCCCTGCTGACCACAGAACAGGGACATGGCAGCATCCGCATGCCCAGGCACCGGCTCTCATTTCTCATGGAGTGGTTGAAGGTGCATTGACAGGAGATCATTACTTCTGTCTGCAAACCCCTGCCTGTCGAGCACAGATCAGACCAGGAGATGGATGAGGTGAAGTGGTCATCCATCCTAACTGAGTGGACTGCTCAGCTGGGACCTTTCTCCTAACAGAAATCCATACCTAGCCTATTTTCTAGCTGCTTCCATCCCCTGGATGCCAGTTTCATGCCACGTAATGAAAACTCATGGAGACAGGGTCATTGCTTCTGCTCTCAGGACACAGGCAAGAGGCACGGCCTGGAGAGGGGCAACACAGGGAGAAAGCCTGGGTACCCTGCCAAACTGAGTGCCAGAGCACTGGAACAGGTTGCCCAGGGGGGTTGTGGAGTCTCCCACATTGGAGATATTCAAGGCCCGCCTGGACAAGTTCCTGTGTGATGTACCCTAGGTTACCCTGCTCTTGCAGGGGGGTTGGACCAGATGATCTCTTGAGGTCCCTTCCAACCCTTGGGATTCTGTGATTCACACGTGCATCACAAGAGATGATGTGCCTGCAGCCCAGAGGGCAGCTCTGCTTGTGCTGTGCATCACCTGGTGCATGAGCTGTCTGTGGGGGCAGAGAGCTGCAGAGCAGTGTGCCCCCAGCAGCATGGGGGGACTGGGATGGCTCCGAGCTGTGCCGCCAGCCCATTCCTTGTCCACAGGCCAAAGACCCCCTGACCTATGCATCAGGAGGATGAGGAGCACAAGGCCCGGCCGTATCTCAAGGAACCTGCCTGGGAAGAGCTGGGGCAGGCTGCCGGCCTCCTCCATCCAACATTCTTCCTGTGGAGCAAGGGCAGCTGGTGACAAGCTGATGACACACAGCTCCTTCAGCAGAGAGCGCATGGATGCAGGCGCATGCAGGAACCAGGCATGGGCTTTCCCAGACCAGCACGTGCAGCGGAGGCAGTTTTGCAGCCTCCCAGCCTCAGAGCTTGGCCTGAGACACCGCTCTCTGCCTCTCATAGCTTTCAAAGGCAAATAGGGTTCTTCCTTGTCCTGGCAGCCTGCAAAATAGTAGACCTCAATTTCCCCACATCGCTTCAGGAGCTGCCAAGTCCCTTGGGTTTGTTGGGTGCCGTTTCCCCTGCGGCAGCTGCAAAAGTCCCATTAGCCCCAACACAGCAATTTTCCACTCTCCGATAGTTGTATAGGCTGGCAGCTGTCTGAGAATTAGTAATAAGAAATACCCCCTTGCATAGCCCTAACCCGACTGTGCCTAACGCAGAGCTGTTCACAGCTGCATTCGTCTCATCACTTTGATATGGGACCGGCAGCAGCGGAGCGCAGAGCAGGCGGGAGCAGCCGATTGATCGCGGTGAGTCAGAGCTCTCACAAACCTCCGCAGCCAGCGCTCGGCATCGCTCTGCGGCCGCTGGCCTCAGGCAACACCGGGAGCAGCCCCGACCCCCGGAGGGAGAGCGGGAGCCGGATGCGTGGGGGGCCCAGCCAGGAGTCCTGCTGCACTGGTTTGCCTGGGACCTGCCCCTGGGCCCGGCTCCAACCCCTGCAGTGAGCATCACATCTCCTTGCTGTGGCGCAGCAGAGCCGCTCACACCTCTGACATGAAGCAAAAACCCCCTCTGACATCCACTCGGAAACTTCGGCTGCTGAAATGTCACCTTGAAATGTCATGTTTGCCTTTTCCACCCTGCGTGCACATCTCTGTTTCATACAGAACGGGAACATCTCAGCTTCTTCAGCCACCCACCATGCTAGGGTGAGTCCCTGCTGCCAGTGAGAAACTCGCCTGAATCACCCGTGGGGATCCAAGCGCTGCAGCTCAGAACAGAACTGGTTGCTTTTACCTTGAAGGCCCTGGCAGGATGCTACAAAAGCACTGGCTGTGCCCCGGCCTGAACCTGGCATCCAGCAGCTGCCCTGCCACAAGCAGTGATCGGTGCTGGAGCTGGAGCCCCCGTTTTCAGCCCATTACAGAGAGAGAGTGAAACAAACTAGAGAAACCCAGAGCCTTGTTTCAGCTGAGCCTGTGAGGAACTCGGCTGGCAGCAAAGAGCTTGTGGTGATAGCACTCATGCTCCTTCCAGCAGCTCCTGGGACAACCTCCTTCCTCTTGTCAAAATGCAGCCCAACCTATTTAATGCACCACATCTCCTCACATGTCTGTGGGTCAACCCACCTGGCTGGACACCCACTGCCCCCCAGCGCCATTCTATCCCTCCCCTCCTCAGATAGACAGGGAAGAGTGAATACAACGAAAGGCTCCTGGGCTGGGATAAGCACCATGCTGCCTGGCACTTGGAAGAGGGTTTCCCTTGCCACAGGCACAGCTCCAAACTCACCCTGAGACAACTGCAGGACAGGGCTTCTCAGAAGAAACCTGTCCCAGTGCTGGCGGGCGGGATCAGAAACCAGCCCAGCAGTTTATAGCTGGAGATCCAGCTTTTTCCCACACAGCAGCCGCATACAGACCAGCTGCAGGTGCAGGTTTCTCCCAGGGAAACCCCAAAGTACTCTTGGTGCCTCTCCCAGATGCTCCTCAGGCAGGGCAATGGTGGTTCTCTAACACACAAAGAACAAGGAGAGGAGCCAGTTTTCCATAGCAAATTAGTGTTATTTAAAAGCCAGCTCCGGTGCATCAGGATTTTCAGACAAGAAAATAAAAGACCTACTCTTTCAGCAGAGGTTTCTATGTAAATACATAAATCTGCACTAGTATATATACTGGACACACACATACACACATGTAGATGGATAAATGGATGAAAGTCTCGAGCTTCAGCTCTGGGCTGTATTCCTCACGCTTTGGTTCAGGAGCACCAACACCCCATAGGGCAGCTCTGAAGATCCCGATGGCACCGGCTCATGGCAGCCCGGGAGCTGCCGCAGCTCTGGGCTCGCACCATCGAGGCTGTGGCAGCTGCTGGAGCCACCTGGAGCTCTACGGGTGCCGTGACTGAGGACAGAGCTGCTGTGGCTCCCAGGTTGCCGGGGGACGCGGCTCGTAGCCACAGACAGCGGCGGGCGGCAGGCGGCGGCTGGCCCCCTGCTCCGGGGCACCCTCCTGCCCGCTGCCGTCACCCGCCTGCGGGGCAGCCCCACGGACACGCAGGGGCTGGTGGGGGGTGGCGAGCTGCCCCCCATCCTCCTCCTCCTCCTCGTCCTCGGTGGCCGGCAGCTTCACGGAGCTGAGCGGTACCCAGCGGTCTGCCAGGCCAAGCCTCTCCCGCTCATCCTCCTGGCTGGGGCTCCTGCCTGGTGTGGGCAGGGGAAGGCAGCTGCCTGCTACAGGGGCTTGGAACTGGCATTTAGAATAGAGCTGGAGGTGCAGGGAGAGCCAGGTCTTGGATGTCTGGTATTCCCTGTCACCTGTGTAGCCGTCTGCCACCAGTCCCACTGGCTGCTCCAGCACATCATCACCACTACGCTTTCCATCCTCCTCCAGCGGCAGTGAGACCTGGCAGCCCAAGACCTGCTCCAGCGCAGGACGCAAGGCACAGGACGGGTCCCTTCCCTCCCAGCAGTCCGGCCCAAACCCGTTGGCACAGTAGCCACCCGTGTTCTGGGAAAGGCTTTCCGTGAGGAGCTGCTGGGCTGCGGGTGTCTGCTCGGCTGCAGGCGGCCCATGGGAGCGGTGAATGGGCAGCAGGAGCGGGGCGACAGAGTCCTGCTGGAGCTCGAGGGTGGGAGCCCGAATGGTCACACTCAGCTCCCTGTTCAGGAGACCCTGCTGGGAAACAGAGTCAGCCTCAGCCTGCAGGGACTGTGCTGGGCCACAGCTCCTGTCACACCGCTGCTCCCAGGCTATGCCCCAGCTGCCAGAGGCCATGGGAGGCTTCTCACCTGCCTGGGGACACGAGCAATCCCTGCACAGAAGCCAGGGAGAACAGGTTGGGCAGCGGTTTTGGTGGTGCAGGAGGCAGAGGGAAGGAGGTGCTGAGCCCCCCAGAAGTGCAGGGGACCCTGCCTCAGCCACAGCACACGGGGGGCAGAGGGAGGAAGCGCTCTTCACTCACAAGTGTTTTCGGGAGGTGGGTCTCCAAGGGACTGGGGAAGAGAAGCCGCAGGAGGAAGTAGAGGCCGGACACAGTCAGCAGCAGGAAGATGCCACTCAGGACAACAAGGAGGACCCAGTGAAAGCCTGTGAGGAGGTCACAACAGGCTGAGGGGTGGAAAGACCCCTTCCTGCATCCCACCCAGCAAGCATCCCCCTAGCCTGCCCTATGCTCGCATCTCCACAAAGCTCCTGTGGCAGGCTGTTGGAGAAGATGAGGGGCAAGCCCAAGGGGGACAATAAGAGAACAACTCTTTTCCCTGCCCATGGCAGGGGGGTTGGAGCTAAATGGTTTTAAGGTCCTTTCCAACCTTAACTATTCTGATTCTATGATCCTATCTCCCATACAAAGGTCCCCACAGGGCCACCATCCCAGCTGGAGTGGCTGTGGGGGTGACCCACAGCTCCATACATGCCCATGCCACAAGCGGGACCCAAGATGAGCTGGGGAGAGGTCCCACCTCCAGTGTCCGTGGCAGTCACCACGCACTGCTCGGCCTCCCGGCTCCGCTCCCGGGACATGTCTGAGGCCAGCGTGCGGACGCAGTACCGTGTGCTGGGCTTCAGGTCTCTGAACGTGCATGGAGCCTCCTTCCCGCTCCGTCTACAGGGCACCTGCAAGCAGAAGGGGTGTGGGGCTGAGCCAGCTGGAGGTGGGGTCTGGGCACTGCTCCCCTTGGCACCCCACTTGCCCATCCCCAGTACGTACCTGCTGGACCAGCATGTCCCCTTCGTACAGGCGCAGCCAATACCACAGCTTCAGCAGCACTCGGTCAACCGGCTTCGGGGAGCCGGTTTTCCTTCGATAGGGAGTGAGCGGCATGATGATACTGACACTGAGGATGTCACCCTGGAGCAGGCAGGACAACCTGGGGGGTCCCACAATGGCTGTAGGGAGGGGAAGAGGAAACTTAAACCCCCCAAAACAAAAGGCAGCATCTTGTTTCCCTAGAAATGATGGTTTTCTGTTTGACATCCCTCTCCCAGCACACAGAAACCTCCTCAGACCTGGCCTGATGGCACTTTGTGCTGTGACTGAAACCAGCTCCAGAAACAGCCACCACCACATCTTTGTGATGCTCAGCGTGTCTCTGGTCACACCAGCACAGGCCATGGCTGAGCTGCTTCTTGCTGCTGAGTGCCTCATCTTGAGCCACCAGATGATGGCTGGAGACTCACTGTGGAGTACAGCAAGAGCTCCCCCAGCAAAGTGCAGCTGTTTCCACGGCAGCTGGGTGCAGGAGGGATGGAGAAGCAGCCACCCTACATCCCATGTCAGCTGCTAACACATTCTGTTCACTGTGAGAACACCTGGGGGAAGGTCTGCAAGTTTTCCTTCCTCCAAAAGACAGGCAGGTTTTTTTGGCCAGGACAGCCAGCCTGTGGCTGAGAAGAGGCATGGGCCAGCACCTCACACACAGCCACGGCAGACAGAGCTGGAACACCCAGCACCTCCCAGAGCCATGGCAGAGACAAACAGGGGATGCTTCTAAAAGGCAAAGCCTGGAGGGGATCCTCCTTCCTACCCCATCTTGCTGCATCCTGCACAGACCCAAACTCTCACAGTGCCTTGGTGGCCTGGAGCCTCCCATCCATGGTCATCACCTCACTGTGCCTCGTCCTCTGCCCCCTTGTCCTTCACCCAGCCCTTCTCCAGCAGTGCTGCTCCCATCCCCTTGCCTGGTTAGGGCTCTTGGCACTTTTCCCACCAGTATCCTCATTTGATTTCCCACCGTGTCCCACCAGCCCTCTCCAAGGCCCTCTTTCCCCATCGGTCCCTTGGGAAGAGCAGGAGCCCAGCTGAGTGAAGGAGCTCCTTACTGGTCCTTACTGTCTCTGTAGAGCTGCAGCTCGCGGGAGTAGGCCCACTCAGAACGCTCGCCTCCAGCTACTGCTCTCACCCGCGCCCAGTAGATGTCATGGATCTTGTCAAAATACAGCTCACACACCCAGGAGGGGCCGGTGCTGTTCCCCCAGCAGGCACCTGCATCGATCCACTGGGAGGTTCTGCCCATGGAGAGAATGCAGGGATGTCTCCTTCCCAGCAGCTTGTTAGCCAAAAAGGAAGGCTGCCCATCCCATCGGAGGGGGAAGCGTGGCAGAGCACCGACACCGGCGAGCAGCATCCTGGGCTGCATTAGGAACAGGCTTATCAACATGGTGCAGTGAAGAAGATGGAAAGTTCTCAGTGGTGCCCAATGAAAGGATAAGAGGCAGCAGGCTCAGGAATTCTGCTAAACAGGAATTCTGTTTAGGCATATGGGAAAAACAAACACACCAACCTAAACCCCAGTGCAGCTCCTTTTGGGTTTCACTGGGGGGGTGACCAGGAAAGGGAACAGGTTGCCCTGGGCAGGCTGTGGAGGCTTCATCCTTGAAGGTGGTCAAAGCCCAAAGGACCGGACCTGGGCTGACCCTGCCCTAGCTGTGCCCAGAGCTCGCTGCCGGCTCTGCTGTGGGCTCACTGGGGGGTGTTTACTGCCAGATGCTGACCCCTGCCTCTAGGACGAGCCCCTCACCTACCTCCTCCTCCACTGCACCTGGAAGGCGGCCTGGAGCGCAGCAGCCCCGGGGTCCGGCTCCCACTGCAGCCGCACGTGGAAGTTCTGTGCCTCCAGCCTCACATCCCGCGGCGGCAGCAGAGCTCCTGGGGAGGGGAGCAGGGCTCAGGCAGCGCCGCTCACTCCCACTCCTCGGCCGGTCACTGCCTGCCCGCGCCGCACACAGGCACCGGGGGCCTTCCCCCCCCAGCACCCGGCTTCTGTCCTGCACAGGCACACACCGGCTCCGTGGGCCTGGGTGGTGCCGGCTGCCAGCGTGATGCTCAGCTCTCACACGTGTGAATCCTGCACACCCCGCAGCATCCTGCCTGCACACCCTGCAGCGTCCCGCACACCCTGCAGCATCCTGCCTGCACACCCTGCAGCGTCCCGCACACCCTCCAGCGTCCCGCACACCCTGCAGTGTCCTGTGCACCCCGCAGTGTCCTGCACACCCCGCAGCGTCCCGCACACCCTCCAGCGTCCTGCCTGCACACACACCAGCGTCCCGCACACCCTGCAGCATCCTGCCTGCACACCCTGCAGCGTCCCGCACACCCCGCAGCGTCCTGCACACCCTGCAGCGTCCTGCACACCCTGCAGCGTCCCGCACACCCTCCAGCGTCCTGCACACCCCGCAGCGTCCCGCACACCCCGCAGCATCCTGCACACCCCGCAGCGTCCTGCACACCTTCTAGCGTCCTGCACACCCTGCAGCGTCCCGCACACCCCGCAGCGTCCCGCACACCCCGCAGCGTCCTGCACACCTTCTAGCGTCCTGCACACCCCGCAGCGTCCCGCACACCCCGCAGCATCCCGCACACCCTGCAGCATCCTGCCTGCACACCCTGCAGCGTCCTGCGCACCCCGCAGCGTCCCGCACACCCTCCAGCGTCCCGCACACCCTCCAGCGTCCCGCACACCCTCCAGCGTCCCGCACACCCTGCAGCATCCTGCCTGCACACCCTGCAGCGTCCCGCACACCCTCCAGCGTCCCGCACATCCTGCAGTGTCCTGTGCACCCCGTAGCGTCCTGCACACCCTGCAGCGTCCCGCACACCCCGCAGCGTCCCGCACACCCTGCAGTGTCCCGCACACCTTCCAGCGTCCTGTGCACCCCGCAGTGTCCTGCACACCCCGCAGCGTCCCACACACCCTGCAGCGTCCCGCACACCCCGCAGCATCCTGCACACCTTCCAGCGTCCTGCACACCCCGCAGCGTCCTGCACACCCTGCAGCGTCCCGCGTACCCCGCAGCATCCTGCACACCCTGCAGCGTCCTGTACACCCCGCAGCGTCCTGCCTGCAGTGGAAGGCTCTGACACCCCAACTGGTGACCCTGGGGTTTTCTTTCCCATTACACCTTGAAGACCACTCAGTCCTCTCCTTCCTGCACGTGCCTTCTGTAGGCCTGAGAGTTGTCCCCATGCTTCTCTCCCCCTGCAGCCAAGGCCACCCCAGACCCCTGTGGCAGCTCCAGACCCCAACCTACCCCCAAGCAGGGTACAAGCAGCCAGGGACAGGAGCAGTCTCAGCGCACAGCTCATCCTGCGGCACGCTGCCCATCTCCCCAGCTCTAGGGTGCTAGGCTGGGTGCCAAGGGGAGAGGACTGGCGAGCTGGAGCACTTCTGCCATCTGCAAACACGCCAGGCAGCCGGAACCTGGGAGCAGAGGAGATGTTTTGTTTCCTGAAGCAGCGGCTGCAGGCACAACGTGAATCAAGTGCCATGGCAGAGTGGCAGGGGACACCCTGGGATGGGGGAAGCAGCAGCAGGGCAGGTGACCCAAGGGCTGCGGTGGGAAGCGGCCTGCAGGGACAGTGGGTAGGTGGCACGCACTGCCACAGCACCCTGCATGTGCCGCAGGACACTGCTGCACCCAGTTGGTGCCCCTTGGTGTTCAGTCTGCCCCTAAAGGCAACAAGAAGCCCCCAGCGCAGACCTAAGTTCACGTGAAGCACAGTGCAGGCTGGTCCCCACTGGGCACTGGGAACATGGCCCCGGGGTGTTCCTGTGGTACCCTCCCATCCTGCTTCCTCGCCCTTCTCTCAAAACCCGGCCACTCCTTACCTGGGCCTTGCCTCACCTCTCGGCTACCAAGGGATGGTTTTCCCTGCTCTGGTCATTGACAGAGGGAGAGACACGTGCAAAGGCTCTGAGACCACCAATGCCATCCCCTGGCTGTGGGACACACCTCCTGGTGAAGGCACGCAGCCTAGGGCCACCTTCAGAGGCAGCCAGGTGGGAGCACCCCCCTGGCCGGACTGAACATCCATGGGACTGGCTCACTCTCACTTGCTGCCTCTTGCTTTTCCTCTGTTACGCTCTCTGCATTAACCTGATGACCACATCTGCCTTGGTGGGTGTGCATAAAATGCTCCATGTTTTCTGTTCCTTGTGAACAGTTAGAGCTGGAAACAAGGGAATGGGCGAGTGGGAATGGGCAACTGCAAACTGCTGTCTTCAAGCCCCTAGGAGAAGCCTCGGCAACGCCAGAGCCAAAGCATGGGCAGCAGGCTGATGGCTTCCCCTGCCCCAGTGCTGGGGCACAAGCCGTCCTAACGGTGCAGCGGGCTCCCAGCGGAGGGCACAGGAGGGACAAGGGGCTCCCAGGACAGTTCCTGGGACTCGTGGAGGTGCAGAGCAGCAGCAAGTCTGCTCCCAAGGGAAATGCAGGGACCTGGCTGCCCCTGCCATAGGAAAGGCAGCACTTTCACAGGAGCGAGGGTGGCTGCAGGATGGCCCCTGCTGACCCCAGCGCACTTGTCCCCATCCTCTTTGGCCAGGGGGAAGGACGCAGCACCCTCCCCGCGCCTCGGTTTCTGTACAGCTACGGCTTTAGCTGCCACCCTGCCGGCTGAAAGGGCGGAGGTTAATCCCCTCTGCTCAGCGCATCGCTTCCTTCGCCTGCATCCCCATGGCCAGCCCGAAGCAGCAGGGACCCCCCTTACCTGGCGTCACGGAGCTGCTCATCTGGCCCCTGGGTAAGAGGAACCTGAGAGCGAACACGGTGACGCCGCCGGTGCCCACCGCGCTGCCGAACGCCCGCCCTCAGCTCACAGCTCCGCACCGGGCACCCCCGGCCCGGCTCCCGGAGCGTTCGCTTGGAGCATCACCGGGGTCCGCTCCTCCCGGCCCGGGCTGGGGGGCTGCAGCCGTCCCACAGGACCCGGGGGTTCGTGCCCTTTCCTGGATCAGGGTTTTCCTTCCTTCCTTCCTTGTAGGTGTCTCTGGCTGCAGGCTCCCGGCGGGCGGGGCTCGGCCAGCTCAGCAGTGCCCTCTGCGAGCGCATGGTGAGACACAGCCCGTGCCCAGCACCCACCTGTGCCCAGCGCCTGCATCCCCTATGGCAGGGACCAGCAGACAGCAGCACAGGGACCTGGCCAGGGCAGACACAACCCAGGACCCCCACACAAAGCCAACACCGGGAACAGGTTTTAATCCTTGCCAACTCGCACTGGAGGCTGGGCACACAGATCTGGCACCCCACACCCTGCTCTGCCCTGCAGACCCCAAGGAACCCACACACAGCTCAACATCCCCCTGCGAGTCCCAAGGCTTTGGCAGCCCATGGGGAAGAGAAAGCAGCAGGGACCCTGCTTCGCAAGAGCACAACAGTGCGGCCCCTCTGGGACTAACAGAGCCAGCGACAGCAGCACAGCCGGAGCTCGCCAGCACCCTCAGCTCTGCTGTAGGCAGCACACACAGGTTCAGGCATTTCAAACCGAGAGCTCAGCAGTGGCCAAGTGCCACCCCTCGGGCAGACACCAGGCCCCCCGCTGCTGCTCCTGTCCTGCACGCAGTGCTGGCAGCATCAATACATCCCGTGGCGCAAGCGGAGTCAGGGCCAGTGCCCAGGGGCCAGCAGCCCCGCAGCAGGACAAGAGCCATGGGGAACAAGGACACACAGCAGCAAACAGGACAGGCTCTTTAATACCACCCTCACTGAAAACCCCTTTCACACGCTGGCTGCCCACTTCCCTGCCTGTGCCTGGGGCAGAGGCCAGGCAGCTCAGGAGGGCAGGGTACTCCCATCAGGCTCGGTGATCCCCTGGGACACAAGGGGGAAGGTGACACAGGCAGTAGCTGCTTGAGGCCTTTCAACACAGAGAGGAGCATTTCAAGAGCTCTTCCAGTGCTGCCAAAAGCCACAAGAGCAAAAGCTCCTTCCCCCTTTCCCACCAGCTACACCCTGGGCAGAGCCTGGCACTATCCACACCACAAAGCGCTGTCATGAGGTGTGTGAATGGCTGCCACAGCACCCCAGGCCCTCTCCCTTTCTGCTGTGAGGGTGGGGGAACCCTGTGACAGCCCAGGGAGGCTGCAGGGGCCAGAAGCCTGCAGTGCGTGGGTGCAGTCCCAGGCCTGCAGGCAGGGTAAGGCCAAGGAGGCCGGGTGCCCCCAGGGAACCCCAAGGGGTGGCGCTGGGTACTTGCCCCTGAGCAGCACCTCATCTCCCCAGCCTTCACCTCAGCATCCTCAGTGCAGGAGGTGGAACAGGGACGGGCACTTCCAGGCCCAGGAACACCGTGTCAGCCTCCAGCACCAGCGCCCCAAGGGGCCGTGGGGAGGAAAGGTTTCTCCTCTGGCAGCTGCAGGGAGGGACTGGGGGCACTGCCAGCCACTGCCAGAGGGTGCGGAGCCAGGAACAGGCACCAGTGCCCACCATCATCAAACTGGGCACCACTGTCTCTGCCCCTGCCTCCCGCAGCGCCAGGTGCCCAGGCTACACCTTCCCAGGTAAAACCCATCCTCCAAAGGCTTCCTCCAGGTACCGGGCTACTGCCAGCGTCAAGTGGTCGTTGTAGGGGCCTGCCACCAGCTGGATGCCCAGCGGCAGCC